TTCCGCTTTCTACTGCAGAGAAGTACAAGAACCACAATTCAGCCCTCGGATCTTTTTAGGGTTAACATTTAACACGTGTAGATACACTATATCCAGCAAATGATATTAAATATGACAAGTCCCAACCTAAGTAAGCAGTCTGGAAAATGAAAATGCTTGTATATAAAGATGTTTGTTCTAACACTGTTTTTTAAAGACCACGTGTTGAAAATAATTGCCCAATAGTAAGGAGAACTATGGTTCAGCCACTCTATGAATATAAACATTAGGAATCAAGTAGCCTAGGAATTTATAATAAGGTAGGAAAACGTGCCAGTCTGCTAACTTAAAAAGGAGGACGCAAAGTTGAGGTGTATCATTCAATACTATTTAAAAATTTTATTTATTGATATTTTGCCTTACTGTGGAAGAAAAAGTAAAGTAGCTGGCAAAAACCATACCAGAAAAATAAGTGTAATTGAAAATAAATAGTGAAGAAAGTGGGACAAATTTAAAAATGAAGGTAGAAAAGATAAATGAAGAATTTGGTCAGCAGTCAGAATGCATAATCATCATTTGCTCGAGTTAGGCCATGGAGCTAGGCTCTGAATTTTCTCAGGGCTAATGCAGAGGTACACACAGTGTCCCAGATACTATGATTCACATTGCCCATAAGGTGAGGCAAATACCCATGCAGAGAAAGCGCAACGGTTTCTGGATTGAGGCAGAAAGAAATCTCTTCTGTAGCTCTTCAGGAAAATATACTGAGATATAGTGAACAACAGCCTCTACAACCTACTTACAGTAAACAGAGCAACACATACACAAAGCAGTTAACATCTTTTATTTGCTGATATAACCTCCATTCATTCAGTTAATCAACAAACACTGAGTGTCAGTTATAAGCCAGGAACTGGTTACAACTATGTCACTTATGGCTAAAGCACTATGACTGGCACTCCCCAGTGAACAAGCAGTGAACAAAAGATAATATCCCTGCTCGTGGAGGTGATATTCTAGTTGGAGGAACATAGAATAACAAAATTAAGTATATGAATCAAATGGTGATACATGCAATGTTGAAGAAACATGCAGGGGAAAAAGATAGGAATTGCTATTTTAGAATGGTCAGGGAAGACCTCACTAATGTTGAAATGAGGGATTGAGCCATGTAGAAATCTGGGAGGAAAGCATTCCAAGCAGAGGGAATAGCAAGTGCAAAGAGAAGGGAGTGTGTGTATTTCTGAGGAACAAGGAGGCTAGGTTGGTGGGAGCAAAGTAAATGAGAGCAAAAGAAATAGGAGGCAGATGAGGATGGGACCAGATGGCATTGCAGCTTACAGCATATTGTAAGGATTTTGGATTTTATTCTGTGTGGGATGGGAAGCCATTGGAGGGTTAGCCATTGGTGGGTTCTGAGCAGAGCGGGACATGAGCTGGCCTATATTTATTCAACAAAAATTTAATTGAGCATCTACTATGCAGCATATTCTGTGCAAAGCACTGGGGATGCTGTGGTGAATGAGACAAACATAATCACTGATGAAATTTACATTCTATTAGCGGGAAATAGGCCATAAATCAATAAAGAAATAATCAAATGAGATAACCTCTGATCCTAAGGAGCCCTAGGAAGGAAAGAGAGTGCTGAGATAGAGAGCAAGGGTAGACCCATTTGTAAGCAAAAGTCTTTTTTGAGGTGGATACATTTACATTGAGCACTAAAGAAGAGGGAGGGGTTAGCCATGTGAAGAGCTGGGAAAGGTCATTCCAAGCAGAGGAAACAGTAAGTGCAAAGGCCATGAGGCAGTAAGGGATGTAAAGAAGGCTGGAGTAAGTCGGAGTACAGAGGCAGTCTGGAGCTAGATCATATATGACCTTGTATTCTAAGAACAGATGAAAATCATGGGATCAAAAGAGTGACATGGGTTTTAAGACAATAACTCTGGCTACAGATAGAGAACAAACCGGAAGGAACTGAAGTAGAAGCCTCCACCCCAACAGACTCGTGCACAAAAAGAACTCAGAAGAAATACATAAAAATTTTAATGGTGGGCTATCTCTGGATGACAAAACATTTTTCTTCCTTCTACTTTTTAAAAATATTAAATTTTTTTTCTATAATGAGCACGTTTATATTCATAATATACAAAAATCCTAAACTTTTTTTAAGACAAAAAAGGCCACTGGAGAATTATGTTCCTAGTCTGACTGACCACTACGTGGTTAACAGTCTCCTTTTTAATTCTTTAGTATTTTAGGTTTATTTGAGAATATGAAAAAGTTAGGGACCCAGGAAATATACATTTGTCAAAACTATACATTTAAATTGGGTGGATTTCAATTATAACTCAATAAAGTTAATTTAAGAAAAGCTATGAACCTTCTTCAGAAAAATCCAGAAGCTGACACAGCACAAAATTCTGCATACAACTTTCTGGATGTCCTGTAGACCCCAATGGCACCTAGATTAAGCACCCTACATTAGCAATTCTCCCTAGGAAAAAAATGCTAAGGAGGATCTTTAGGACCTAGAGAGATTATGTATAGGAAGGAGTCATTTGAAACTCTTTTCTTCTTGAATCTGCAGCCAAAATTAGAGGTTGAGGAATGTAGAAGGAAAAACAATGTGTTATTGTTATCAGAATAACAACAATAGGGTAGTCCCTGATGGCCAGAAGTTATTGCTTTCATTGACTAAAGAGAGAAAAAAGTAAGTAGCATAGCTTGAGGGACTGAATTTACTTGAATTAGGAGGTGGAAAATTTGGATTTATTTTCAATGTGAGGAATAAAAAAGTGGAATACTGTCCTTTTAAGCATAGCCATTAGAATATTTGCATCAAGGACAAATTCTCTAAGGAAAATCCTGGCATAAGAACTTCATGTTCCTACCCCCCATTTTCTCTTCCAATTCTGGGGCCTTATTATGCAGATTACAGAAATGACAGATGGACAACAGGAGAAGTTCCAGTGCCTAGATCTACCTGGGAAAGAGGAGGGATTCACAGATGAAAACAGGAATAGATCTAGGAAGAAGGATCTTCAGGGGGGAGAATTATTTTTTAGGAATTATGGGAGAAGATTCAGAACTGAGAAGTGACAGAATAAAAGACAGAAATGAGAGGATGTAAAAAGAGGTACCATAGAACCATTCTCTTTGAGATGCTGCGAGGTATGTAAATTGATTGACATATTTGCCTGCTGGACTTTATTAATTGAAATACAACACTGTGCAGAGAGTAGGCCATTGTGGGCCCTTGGATATTTTTAGGTTACATTTACTTATTCTTTCATTCAAAAAAATTTACTATATTTCTATGTTCCAGCTCTTGTGCTAAGCAATAGGGATGCAAGATTAATAAACATAGTACCTGGCCTCAAGCTGCTCGAATCTGAGGAGGAGGTAGATATAATGAGTAATGCTAAGGGCCATGATACGACACAAGCACCAAGAAGTCACCAATCTGGGCGTCATAAATAGGAGGGGAAATAGGCAATAATAGGATGGCTTCGGATCCTTCTTCCTCTACAACTGAAGGGCTGCTTACCTTCAAATTGAGGTGTCTGGATAAGCACTTGAGAACTTGAGTCATGCTGGCTGTGGCCCGTTCCCGCTCATGGTCTTTGATCGACTGTAACCATGGGTCCATGTGCTATGGAAAATGAAGGGAGTCTAGATGGTTTATCAGGAAGAGCTGGGATAACACCCTTATTCTGTGTGGAAGACAATGTGGACAGGGAAGTCCCACCTGTCACTACTACGTCTGACAATATTTTCCTAAGTGATAAACCAGTTTGGGTTGGAAATGAAAGTGGTGGGATGAGAAGGCACAAAGACCCAGGGGGATCAGACAGTCCGCATCCCACAAAGGCTCAAGTTTGAGGCTTATTTTCCCTTTGTCCCACTTTCTTCAATTATTTATTCTATTCCTCTGCGTGTTTTTAACTTCCTCAAACCTGCTTTGGAAAGAAAGAAAATTAATTGATGTGCTATTAAAGAACGCTGAAGATGGGGAAGTTGCATCTGTTTGCAATAGTCATGGAAGGATTCATGGAGAAGATAAAATCCATGAGTAGCAGTTTCACAAAGAAGTAAGTAGAAAAAATGGGTTGTATGAAGCTGCCAAGGCAGGAAAGTACAAGGCACAGCTGGATAAAGGGGAGAAAGCCAATTTGGCTAGGGTGTTGAGGTACACATAGAAGAGAAAGGAGAAATAATGTTAAGGTCAGTTGTGGTGTCCATCTGTACTCAGGCACAAATGATTAATTAATAACAGTTTAAAGGGTTACCCCTTTCTGGGATATCTGCATCTTACAAAGGTGCAGGAGAGCAAGATGCTTGAGCCACAGTGAACGCACTCCAATGAATAAATCCCTAATAATGAAATGGCATATGCTAGAAGCCGGACAGGTGGGTATTAACAATTGTTAAATCTCACTGGGCAGGCAGCTCCCTATTTACTCATTCTGCCTATTTACTCAGGTCGACTCTGCTCTCTAGTCACTGACTGAAACCTTTGTATGGTGGTAAGCAATAATAGTTTAAGGAATTAATTACAGCAACCATTTAAACCATTTATCGAAGGCCATTTATGCAGTACAGTAATTATTATGTCAATTTAAAGGTGAAGAAATGAGACTCTGAGATACCAACGTTTCTTGCTGTATTTATAACCAATGAATGGCAGGGAGTCAGAATTTGAACCCAAGTCTGACTCAAAAACAGATAGCTGATACTCTTAACTATTATGCTCTCTCTTAAAACTTAATCCCGCCACATTTTCTTCTTCCACTTTCACCAGTGAATAGGGAGTTTCCCATTCTCTCCTGATAGCCTGTTTACCGTAAAAATGGTGTCAAGGTTTTCCAAATGTGGGTCTTTTACCACCAAACTCTTGAGCATCTCAGAGAACGCCTGAAACATCTGCCTGTAGAGACACTGAAAAAGCCTAGGATCAGTGATGCCGCCATATGAAGTTCCCCAATACTGTACACTGCTAAGGTTCTCCTCAATATCTTAGACTTTACTCAAAGGTGTGGAACTCGTTTAAAAATGCTGGTAGGCAGTGTGTGACCGGAGGTGAAACAATATACAGTAATACCTTGGTTTGCGAGCATAATTCATTCTGGAAACAAACTACTTGCATTGCAAGACATCGCTCGTTTACCACGTTAAAATGTATTAGAAATGTTTTCTCGTCTTGCAGAACACTCGCAAACCATGTTACTCGCAATCCAAGGTTTTACTGTCTATTCCTATTACACGGACATCTCCACTTTACTGGAAACACAGTTAACTGATTCTAACTAGCTTGGGGAATTACTTAGGGTCACCAGGGTACTTTTAAAGTTTGACTTGTGACTCTGACATCTTGAAACAAAGGGGAACAAGGTCTCCTTTGGCAACCGCTTTACCAGCCAATTCACGAGGGGCAGAAAGAAATCGCGGCCTTCACACTTCCTCTTCTCTCTGCCTGAAAGTTTCTTCTCCAGAGATATCCACACTCTCACTCTTCAACTGTCACTTCCCGAAGAGAGCTTTCCCTGACCACTCTATGTAAAAAAGCCTCCATGCCTCCCAACCCCAGCACTCTTTATCCTCCTCTTTCCCTGTTCTATTTTTTTCATGGCACTTATTACCACCCACTATTGTATCTACCAGTGGTTTGTATCTCTGCACTACATGTTAGCTCCCTGCTGTATTCCTGCTGCCTATCATGATGCTTAGCACATGGTACCCCTAGATATCAGCTAAATAAATGAACACTCCTCCTTATTTTAAAGCCAAAAGCAAGGCAAGAAGGGATGAAGGGAAAAAGACAACAAAATAGAGAGGGGAAAAAAGCTGTTTAATTTAACCACCCATTTTATTCACCAGACTTGGTTTAAATAGTTTTTGGCTAGTTCCAAAAAAATCAAATGCACCCTCAAAAGGCCAAGATCAGCTGACCCCGGGGATGGCAAGTTATTAAAGCAAAGTGTGCGTTACCTCTGAGTTGTAGGACCCACTGGGCATGATTTCCTGCAGATGGGTCAGAGTCTTTACAGGGGACAAAGTGATTATACTTTTGGTGATGAGACGGAACAAGTCAACTCGATCTTCAGAGCCAAATAGCAAAGGGACACCTCGATAACTAAGAAAAGACAGTTTGGGGATAGTAAGCTGGGAGTTTGATTTGACATTGATAGGCAGGGATCAGAGTAACCCAAAAGGAAAGGGTAGGCTTTTGGGTGCATGGTTCTGATGGAAGCCAGTCCGTTTAGATACATCTCAGAAAAGGTTACAGGAAGAGTTTCAGCCTCCATCCTTCTCCCCTTTACCTCCCCACCTCTACAGGTCACTGGAGTGACATATTTTCAGGCGTTTTTCTAGTTCAACCATGGAGAGAAGCCTGCTGCAGTCTAATATAGTAAACCACGATTTTCCAAGGTGTGTTCTGGTAAATGTTGGTTAGCGTGGGTTAAACCAAGTTAAAGAGCTGTTTAATTATAGGACTCCTTGGGATTTTTAACCAGTTAATGTGTGGTATAAATCTCCAAAAAAAGTAACCAGCAGGCAGCCCTTCTGAGTTTCTTGGACTGTGGAACTCTACTGTCATGAAGCATGTATGGGAATAGCTTCCCAATGAATACTAGACAAAAATGAATTCCAGGGGCGGCCGGTTAGCTCAGTTGGTTAGAGCGCAGGGCTCATAATACCAACGTTGCCGGTTTGATCCCTGCATGGGCCACTGAGGTGCACCCTCCACAACTAGATTGAAACAACTACTTGACTTGGAGCTGATGGGTCCTGGAAAAACACACTGTTCCCCAATAAAAAAAAATAAAAACTTAAAAAACAATAAATGATTGTTCTTAAAAAAAAAAAGAGAACTCCAAAGAGGTTCCAATTAGGTCTTTCAGATATGGATGGTGGCATATATGAAACCAAAGTTCTTACACAAAAACATGGCCTTGGCTTCCCCTTCTCTAAATAGTTTTGAGAGGCTAAAATTATGGAACATGTCAGTTGGCTCTGGTATTGGCCCTGAATGAGAGGAACCAGGGCACATGTGTAAGGAGGCATGTGGGTGTCACCTGAGGTCCGCGATGGTGACCAAGACCTCGTGGTGCACAGAGCTGAAGAGAGAATGCAGGGGCTCCTCTTGGATCAGCATCTGCAATGAGAAAGAACTTTGGAGAGTCGAGAATGTGCCAAGTAAATAGGCCAAATGATGAGCAAGAATAATAGCAGGTGCTTCAGTGGGCTCTGCTCCTCTGCTCCACAGGACTAGTAGCAGCACAGGGGCCAGGCTAGGAGTTTATTCTCTGAGGCCTGACTCTGTCTCTTATTAGCTGTTGGAGCTGATGCAAGTTAGTTAACCTCCCTGTACCTCAGTTTCCTCATCTGTAAAATGAGATAACAGTGCCACTTCCCTTCTTGGGGGTGGTTGTGAGTGCTTAATGAATTAATTCAGAATACCTAGCAGCCCTCAATAACTTAGGTAGTGTCTGTTACTCATTATTTTCATTACTAGTGATTATTTCCAGTTTAGGCATCCTAACTCCTGTTTCTATATTATCCTGTTACTTGTCCTAAAAAAGGAATAACTTTCCAAATTCCTAATTGGCAGAGGGAAAATCTGCCTTGCTCTGTTGGAAAAATCTGCAGAGTGATAGAGAGGAAAAAAACAGGGGCTTTGGAGCTAGCCTATGAGAGTGAGAACTGGCTCTGCCACTCACGGTGTGACACTAAATGTATTAACTCCCCTATGCCCGAGTTTCCTTGTCTGTATGGGGGAGATGAGAAAGTATCTCAGGGAGTTGATGTAAAGAGCAGTGTAAGTGGTTGTAGTGGAAACCTTAATGGACTGACTACGTAGCCTCTCTGGAAACTGCTCCCGGCCCATAGGAATGGGTACCTCACAGTCATGTTTTTGCTAAGTCATTCTGTCCCACTCACCACAACTTATCTGACCAGGAGTAGACATCAAGGCCAATTAGATTCTGTTTCTGAAATTGAGACTAAGAACTTTAATCTCAATCTGGCTGATCTACCAAAAGGAGAAAATTTAAAGTAGTTTGGGAGCACTGGGCCCTATGGACAAAGTAACAGAATGCCAATTTTGAGAAGAGAGGGGGAGAAGGGGAAGCAGGAGAGAAAGAGAGAAATGGAAATGTATACAGAGGAGCAAACATAAAAGATGGGACGTTCTCTCTGAGTATGTGAAAGGTTTTTTGTTTGTTTTTTCCTGGTTTCATTCCCTTCCTGGAGCAGGCTGCCTTCTCTTCCTGTCACAGGATTCTGGGCACATTCAGTTATCCTAAGAACAAATCTTCCCCTTTGTGTTTCAGCTGCTTTGAGTGGATTTCTCTTACCTGCCACCAGAAACACCTCACTAGGAACTTAGGTAGTGCTCAGGAGGCAGCACTTAGTGACTAAACTGCGTTCCTTTTCTTTCCGAAACCTTTCTGAGCTTTCTCTTTTCACTTTCCACCTCTGGTCAGATCTTGTTGGTGACCTGCTGCTCTTCTTTATTCCCTTAAGGAACTTAGTTATTTTTATGGCTCTGTAGTCTGGAAGGGACAAAGCATAAGGCTCTGCCTTCAGCATCCCAGGGCGCTCCTCACCCAAATCTAGTTATCTCATGGGCATCGCAGCGATAACCTGGCAATTTGGTGTTAAAAAGTGAGTTCATTGTCTACCCATCTTCCCAGGCTTCAACTGTTGTCAATGGCTCCCTTCCCCAGGGCTCCTAAAAAAGATGATTTATGACTTTTTTTCTCCTTTATTTACTTCCCACATCCAATCACAGTGATAGACACTCTGCAGTTTCTGACTCCATTCCTGCAGCCATACGCCCCACATGTGCATGAAGACTAAACTACCGGGCTTGCACTCCCTCTGACTTCAATCTACTTGACCGCTTCTGCCAGAAAAATCTTGTTTTCTTTTTCTTTTTTCCCCCCCAAACTTTATTGGGGAACAGTGTGTTTTTTCCAGGACCCATCAGCTCCAAGTCAAGTTGTTGTCCTTCAATCTTAGTTGCTGGGGGCGCAGCCCACCATCTCATGCAGGAGTCGAACCGGCAACCTTTTTGTTAAGAGCATGCGCTCTAACCACCAGTTTTCTTTCTTTCTTTTTTTAATCAGTTAGATGTGAAAAGCTTATTATTTGTTCAAAATTACACTAACCGCTATGGGGAATTCAGAAGTGAGAGGCTATATTTTTGTTTGTAAAGTAGTTGCATAGTAGGAACCACGTGGGGTACCTCCCTAGATCACAGGAATCACCCCTTCTCTGGGAACTGCCTCCAACCACAGGGAGGGGTGTCCAGAAGTCGTGTCGTTATTATAGGGTGCTGCTCCAAGACACTCCTGATTAATGCAGAAGTGGAGCACAGACCTAGTCTAGGCCAATCAGATTCTCTCCCCCAGAATCTGGAATTTTAGAGTGACAGACACAGCCTGGGAGCTGCTGGAGGTTTGCTCTTGCCTTTGAGACCCCTGGAGCTGTCCTAGAACTTACTCTTCTGTAGGCTTCATTGCTAAACCTCTTCCTTAGATTCTAAGAGACATATTCCAGCATCCCTTTTGTTTGTTTTTAACTTAAGTGAGCCGGAGATGATTTCTGTTGCTTGTCCCAAGAAGAATCTTAACCAGTCTTAACAAAATGAGACATTCTGTCTCAAAGGACTTAATGAAATCCAGAATGATAGAACTAACTCCATTTTCCAGGCGGAGCTAGAGGTTTACGGAAGCTAAGTGATTTGTCTGAGATTACACAGGTTGTGCCGGACAGAACTGGAACTAGAAACTGTGTCTTCTGATTCCTAAAATAGCTCCCTTTCCTCTCTACCCTTCTGCTTCAGGAAGCTCAAACTCTCATTAGGACAGCCGGACAGTCTTTTCATTTTAGTTCAGTCCACTGTGAAATGTCCTCTGAACTCCTTCAGCATTTATTATCCACACCACTGAAGAGCCTTCCTGAAACAACATTCTCATCCGTTTCCTGACTCGCTGCTCAAGTTGTACCATTTTGTCACAGTGCCTCCTCAATGCTGAGTGCACTCTCTAAGTTTTTTTGTTTTTTTAAAGATTTTAGTGGGGAATTGGGGAAGGGAAACAGCTAAGTTGTTGTCCTTCAATCTTAGTTGTGGAGGGTGCAGCAAGCTCAACTCCAAGTCCAGTCGCCATCTGGCCACACATTGGCAGCTCGTGGCAGCTCAGCTCAAGGTGCTGTGTTCAATCTTAGTCGTGGGGGAGCAGGGGACACAGCCCACCATCCTATGCGGGAGTTCAACCAGCAACCTTGTTGTTAGGAGCATGTGCTCTCACCAGCTGAGCCATCCTGCCACCTGTTGGAAGCTCAGTGGCAGCTCAGCTTGGGCGCAGCTCACTGGCCCATGTGGGAATCGAATCGGCGACCCCTGTTGCTCAGAGCTCGCACTCTTAACCAACTGAGCCACTCGGCCGGCCCCCACCCTAACTTTACCAAACAATGTAGTAGCAGGGTTTTGTGGACGACCCCAGAGGCAGAATTAGGGTGGAGTCCCAGGCTAATAGAGAATTGAGGCACCAATAGCATCTAAAAATCATCCCACTGGCACTTCTGCCATATTGCAGGATGCAGAGCCCTGGCCCTGGCATAGCCAGGTGATAATGTACCATTCAAAGCCCCTACTCACGAGTCCCTTCTCTCAACACTATCCATCACATCCTTTGAGGCTTAAATCAGGAGACTATCTGAATTAATTTCACCCCAATCTTATCATTACTTTACTCTAAATCCCAGTTGCCACTGCATTTTTTTTTTCTTTTAAAGTTCTCAATGGACTTTTGGTAGCGTTTTTGATTTCTGAGGTAACAGACACACAATAAACTGTACATATGTAAAGTGTATAGGTTTATTTTATTTTATTTTATTTTTTGAATTGGAGGATGGGAATAGCGCTGGGTAATTGGGAGAAGGGGAACAGGCAAGTCGCTGTCCTTTTTTTGTTCTTCCGTCTAGTTGTGGAGGACGTTGCTTCACTGGTCCAAGTTGGCACCATCATTGTGCTCTTCCTGGGCAAGGCAGATCAGTCACCAGCTTCTGGACGGCCGCTCACAGTGGCTGCTGGCTACGCACGGTAGCCCATGGTAGCCTACGCCGTCACCAGCGACTCACGGCAGCCCAGCTCCAGGTTGAGCTGTTGTTCAGCATCTTAGCTGTAGAGGGCAGTGTCACTGGCCCTCATATGTGGGATCTGAACCGGGGCCTCTGGCGTCCGGTTCTTAACCAACGCGCCACTCGGTCGGCCCTGTATAGGTTTATTTTTGACATATGTATACATCCATGAGACCACAATGAAGACAATGAACAAACAGGTCGCTCCCAAAAGTTTTCCTGTGCTACTTTGTAATTTCTCCCTCCTGCCTCTTCCTACTCGGCTTCTATATCCAGGAAACCATTGATGTGATGTCACTATACATAAGTTTGTACTTTCTAGAATTTTATATAAATAGAATCACACAGCATATCCTCTTTTTTTTGGGTCTGGCTTCTTTCACTCAGCATAGTTATCTTGAGATTTCATCAAAATTGTAGCAAATATCAATAGTTAATTCCTTTTTATTGCTGAGTAGTATTCCATTGTATGGATAAACCAAAATTTGTTTATCCATTCATCTGCTGATGGGCTTTTGGGCTGTTTCCAATGTTTAGCTATTACAAACAGGGCTGCTGTACATCTGTGTACATGTCTTTGTGTGGACATGTTGCCATGAAGCTGTCCAGCCATTTGTCCCCCGCGCTTACCCCTAACTGACCCTTTTGAGGACACTGCTCATACACCTTGCATCTCCCTGTTTGGCCCCAAAAGATGGCTGGTTAGCCAATGATGGGTAAGATTCCTCGAGGAAGGAACAACCTAAGACAGGCACAGTCACATGGGGGCCATCAGGAGAAATCTCGGGGCTGATGGAGGTGGGCATAGGTCCTCACCTGACCCCAAAGAGACTGGAGGTCTTCTACCTCTGTGGCTACATTCCTTCCCGCAACCTGCTTGGGAAGTGACCTGATGATGTGATAGTATATGTTCTCAGCATAATAATCTCATCCCCCTGGGGTCTTATACATATGGGTGTGTGAAGGCAGAGTATCTGTCTGATCACCAGGACTTTCCGTAATAGCAGCTTGCAGGCATGGGTAATCTGGCTTGAGCAAGTTCTCAGGAATGAGACTCACAGACTGTGGAGAGAACAATGCTACTTCCAGGTATGTGGAGAAATAAAAGCGGTGTGTCGGCCCAATTCGGGGCTCTCAGTCCTGTGAGGCTGGAGACCCTTGGCCCTGCTCTCATTTAACTCTTGACTGATGTTTCTTTTCTTTTTTAACCCTTCGCTGCCCCCTCTCGTTCTCTCACTGCCTTTGTCGTGCGGGACGCGACATGGACATGCACTTCATTTTCCCTAGGGGTGGAATTGCTGGGTCATATGGTAAGTGTATGTTTAATTTTTAAGAAACTGTCAAACTGTTTTCCAAAGCGGTTGTGCCATTTTACATTCCCACAGTGTATGAGAGTTCCGGTTGCACCATATCTCACCAACATTTGGCATTACCTTTCTTCTTTATTGTAGCCATTCTAGTGGGTGTATAGTTGAATCTCACCGTGGTTTTAATTTGCTTTTCCCTAATTACAATGGTGGAACATCTTTTCATGTGCTTTATTCATACATCTTCTTTGGTAAAGTTTTATAACAGATTCCTCCCCGCCCCCCTTCCTTTCCATATTCTTAGCCTCCTGGGCTCTTTTTATTTGGATACTGAAGAGCCATGCATTGACATGGTTCATGAGAACACTGGCAAGTGCCCTGAAATTCTTTTCTTTATAGTGATCCTGGCTTTGTCCTCCTGTGGGTTCCTCAGCATAACTGCTTCTCTTGGTTGTTGGAAGCTGAACCTTGGTTGTTGGAACCTGCACATGAGCTTCCAGAGACTTTGCAGACTTGTGCAACGATACAATGATCCATGTAATTCTCTCATCAATACCAGCCACCCTTAACTCTTCCAGACTGATGCTCTCTTGCCAGCACACACTTTCGTTGATACCTGACAGTGGTATTTTACTACTGGCTGGACAGATTCAGATGCAGAGTATGGGAAACTCAGTGTGCTCCTGTTGTTTGAGACTTGCATTCGTAGATCTTCTGAGCTGGTTGGTTAAACCAGGTGGCAACCCACCGTTGCCAATGCTTGTGAAGTGGGCCTACGGAATCATGCCATGTTGGCTGGGTCCTATGGCTGCCTATAAGCCTCTTTCCATGGTGTATATATAGCCCAGTAGAAAGCTGCATTCATTCTTAAATCTGCATTATATCCTTCTGTTCTTTCTGATGTATTATTTGCCATAGTTCTCAACCTATTTATGAGGTGTGGTCATTTCCAAGAGGATTATAAACTCTTGGAAGGCAAGGATTAACACTTTCAGGAAATGTGTATCCTTCAGCAAAGCATGACAGTGTTCTAGATACAGAAGATCCTTGATAACTACCTACTACTGAACAAACCTGTTAACTGGTTAGCCTTCAATTCTGAAAACTAACCAATCTAATCAGCCTTATAGATCCATAGGTTGAAAAGAAATGCTCATTTTCCTGGAATGTGTAAGAAATCTCAGATTCAGAATTTTAGAGCTTTAGAGGCTGAAGGGGACATTTCACGGATGAGAAAACGAAAGCATCAAAAAGTTACGTGCTTAAGGGTGTCCCCTCCTTTATAAAGCCCTTCTGGACCCTCTGACATAAGATTGACCACTCACCTCTGTGCCCTCACTACAGCTATTTAAACTTTTGTCACTGTCCCTGTGACAGCTGATTACATCTTTCATGGCTGCAGGAACAGGGCTTATGCTTTCTTTGTCTTTGTAGGCCCAATTCCCGGGACAATGCCTGGAACTGTCAGGCACTTAAGGTAATGAATGAATGAGTTAATGGCAGAATGTGGCTGGAGTTAACTACAAGTAGGACAAAAAAAGTAATAAAAAGAATACAATCGTGTTTCTCAAATGTAAAATATGTGATCAGTACCATGCTACCTGGCTTACATTTATTTCTTATTTAATACTCTCAATACCTCTGTGAAGTAGTTATCATATTTTATAGATGAGGAAACTAAGGCACCGAGAAGTTAGTAGTTTCCCAAAGTCACATAGCTAGAAAGAGGCAGAGCTGGTACTTGAACCTAGGCATTTGATTGTAGAGTCGGCCTCAAAACTCCTGCTTCATTAATGAGAATGTAGCATTGCTTTTAATGAGAAATTTAAATGCCGTTTTTCTCCCTTCTACTCCTCTTTCAATTAGTTTTCCAGGGTGATTATTGTGTGGAGTTCCCTTGCGTATTTCTCTTCCATGCAGGTACTGATATGAGAAGAGGGAGGATAAGGGAATCAATACTATAGGTTAGGGGTCAGCAAACTTTTGAGACGGAAGAGCTACCAGGGGTCAGCAAACTGCAGCTCGCAAGCCACAGGCTCTGAAATAAAGTTAAAAATGAAAATAAAACTATCATAGTTTCATTGATAAAATTTTTAAAGGATATTATTCACATAATGGTGATTATGTAAAAATATATTTATGGCTTCGAATAAATTGTTGTGAGGGACAGGGTTGGCTCTTCCAGGGGTCGACAAACTTTTGAGACATAACATACCCAAAGAGCCGCATATGGCTCGTGAACCGCAGTTTGCCGACCCCTGATATAGGTGAAGCCACTAAAACATTTATTAGCTGGGTCACTGAATTTGCATGGTCTCAATAATTTGTGATAAGGTCACAGTACTTACATTTAGGATACGCACAATGTCTGCTATGTGGCTGTGAATGAATGATTCTGCCACTTCATCATAAGGTAAAGTTCGGCTGAGAGAAGACAAAGATCTCAGGAATGTCAGCTTCTCAAGTTCACGCTGAATTTGTGGAAAAATGATAAAAACACGATTATACATTCTAGTCTCATTTGATAATTGTAGAGGGCTTCTGAAAAGTTTCTTGGAATGCTTTAAACATCTGACATCTCATTTGATCCAGTATCAGTCTTTTATTTAAGGAATGAATAAATTACAGAGGAATGAAATTCCTTGTCCACTGGCCCTGCCTGGGTTTGGGAACCTCGTTTTCCCTCTCAGCTCAATTACCAAGTGCCCCATGATGACTCTCCCCGCATTTAGTCTTTGTTTCCCCACCTACCCACCCTGCAGACTGTCGAAGCTTACTAACGGTGACCTCTGTGCTATTACTTCTGCCTCTCTTGATGTCATTAAAGACTCATTATTTTGAGTCTTTAAGGTTTCCTATTAAAATGCAAGCTTTGATTTAAAGAATAAAATCTCTTTTGTATTATTCTTTTTTTCTAAATATAAAAGCACTATCAATTTATCATAGGAACTTGGAAAAAATAAAGTTTAAAGAAGAAAATAAAAGACACCAATAATTCCACAATCTTGAGAAAACTTCTTCCAGTCTTTCCCCACCTGCATATAGGTGGTGTAAACTGCTATACGCTCTCCAGAGAGCAAGTAGCAACACATAGCAAGACGCTGACTTCATGGCCTGTCTGATTCTCTCTCACCTGGATTAGTATCACAATCCAACACTGGGTTTTTCTGCTCGAGTTTTGCCCCTTTCCAATCTATTGCCCCAGCTCTCACCAGATTCATCTTTTAAAAAGTGCAAATTTTGGCCGCCGAGTGGCTCAGTTGGTTAAGAGCTCGCTCAAGAGTTTGAGCTCTGAGCAACAGCGGTTCGAGTCCCGGCCTAAGCTGAGCAGCCGCTGAGCTGCCAACAGGTGGCAGGATGGCTCAAAAAAAAAAAAAAAAAAGTGCAAATTTGCTTCCGTAACTCCCTACCAAAAATCTTTCAATAGCACCCACACCTGTGGAGGTCAAGGCCCATCCCAATGTGACCCCAGCTAATCTCTTCAAATTTATCTCTTGCCTTACTCTGATGGCATTCTGAGCTTTAGTCAAATTAACTTTTTTTTTTTTTACATTTTATTGGGGAACAGCCATGGTCATTGGTTACACATTGCTTTCATGCTACAATGGCATGGTTGACTCTTTTAAGGTGGGTGCAGCTCACCGTGGTCCATGCAGGGATCGAACCGGCAACTTTGGTGTTATCAGCACCATGCTCTAACCAACTGAGCTAACCGGTCACCCCCAGATTAACTTTTATGCTGCCCTTTCTTACTTCTGGGCCTTTGTACCTTCTGAATTCTTAATATTTCTTTTTGTTTACACTTCTTTTGTTGACTAAAATCTACATCTTTTAAGACCTGGATCATGTATTTCCTCCTGAAGCAGGGTCAGGTGGTCTCCATAAAGTACAGGTGTGTACTGCTGTCACGGCATTTGTAATACTCTGACAAAACTACCTCCTTATTCATCTATTTCCCTGACTGGCTGTGGATCCAGGTCAATGCAGGGAATGGACTCACCCCTACCCCCAATTCACTGTAGCAATCCAAGCCCTTCATTAATTACAAAGAAACCCTTTATGACATGAAGTATAAAGAATAGTCTGACTCAAAAGTGAAGACCAACATTCTGGCTTTCAGAATTTTAAAAAAATTTATTGGCATTATTCATAGAGAAAATGTAAAGCCTGATGAATTTTCACAAACCAAAAATATCTGTGTATATCCAAAGGAAATACAATTCAGATATCAAAGAGATGGCTGCATTCCCATGCTCATTGCACCATCATTCACAACAGCCAAACTATGAAAACAACCCAAGTGTCTGTTGACAAATACCTTTGACACGATGATTTAAATACACCAGGTTTCTTTGAGTTCATCAGACATGCTCTGTTCCTCTGTGCCACAAGGTTGTTAAACACACCATTTCCTATTTCTAGAACACTCCCTCCAATTCTAACTTTTCCTAATTTCACCTGTTCATTCCTTAGATCTGAGTTCAAGCGTTAGTTACTTTCTCAGAAATGCCTTCCTTTACCCCCAATAAAGATAAATTCTTCTGTTATGTACACTCCTAGAATGAATAAATGAATGAATGAATGTTTCACCTAAGCAATGGAATACTGCGTGAAGTAGGATAATATATAGTTATTGACCTACAAAATATTTTTCTCCCACCATCTCTGATGTTTATTTTTTCTATAATTACACACATTTGTATGCACAGAAAAAAAAGTATGAAAATATATATACTACAATGATAACAGTAGTCACCTCATGAGAGTGGGCTTAGAGAAGATTAACTTTTAATTTTAATTATGGTTTTGTTTTTATAGGAATTTTATAATTTTCATAAATATAAATACAACTTATAAATGTATATATGTATTATAAAAATAAAAGTATAAATATAAATTTTATAGCCTATAAATTATTTGCATAATAAAGAAATAACAAATGTTTAAAATATTTGTTAAGGGCCCGCCGAGTGGCTCAGTTGGTTAACAGCTCGCTCAAGAGTGTGAGCTCTGAGCAACAGGGTTGCCAATTCAATTCCCAGCCCGAGCTGAGTTGCCGCTAAGCTGCCAACAGGTGGCAGGATGGCTCAGCTAAAAAAATAAATAAATAAAATATTTGTTTAAATGGAGGAGTAAATTGGACAATTCATGAAAACGGCTTGTGCATACCTTTAGCTCACCGTTAAAAAACTCCTGAATGAATTCGATCAGCTTCTCAATATTGGCTTCGCCAGGGGGGCCCTGGTAGGTCAGGTGTCTGAAGCTATCTGTGAGGGGTTCCCGAGGGAGTTCAAAGATATCAGAGATGTCCGAGTCTAATACTGAAAGAAAGACAATACCTCTGTACTAAGTAAAGTTATACAGTTTAATGGGGAGGACCACGGGATACCAGGAAAAAAAGGTCCTGTTCTCACATTCGCTGTTTGCTCTGCCACCATGATCACGTCCTTTCCCCTCTCTGAGTGTTTTCTCAACCACAAATTCAGTGTTCTCTAAGGGTCTCCTAAGCTACAAAATCCGTGAAGACTGGACTCTAGGAGAGTGGTGAAGAGCATGGATTTTACATCTTAGTGTCAGATGAGCTGGAATCCTGGCTCTCCCATTTAGTTGTATGACCGTTATCAAGTTAGTTTGTCTCTTGCAACCTTAGTTTCCTCATCTGTAAAACAGGGCTGTTGTGAGGATTCAGTGAGGAAATACATGAAAATGACTTACCCCAATATGTGGCCCATAGCAGGCACTTCAATGGTAGATGTTATCCAAATTCAAGTCCATGACTCTGTGGTGACAAGAGCTTACATTAGCAGCCCCTTGCGGATCTCTTTCCACTGGACCAGGCTGCAGTAAGTGCTTGAGGTATCGCCTTCCCACCATGGGGTATGCTCTGATTAAGAGCACAGGCTCCAGAGTCGGTCTGCCTAAGCTCGGATCCTAGCTCTGCCTTTTTCTAGCACTCTGACCATATGCAACCTTACTTTCTCTGGGCCTATTTCTTCATTTCCAAAATGGAGATAATAGAACCTATCTCATTTGGCTGATACAGAGATAGCACCAAAGAAGTGTTGGCAAATATTATTCTTTTGCTCACTGAGTGACAATGATGATGGTGTCATCATTTTCCTCTTCATGTAGCTTTACATCCTTACCTCCTCTATTTTCCAGTACCAAATCCCTATTTCTATTGGACAAATAGTATTATTTTCCCAGTAACACACCATCTAAGGGCTTCTGACACTCCACTTTTGTACTGTTTTTGGTCTCCTGAATTACAGCCTCGCCTGCAAATTCCTCCCACTCCCTGCCGCATTCTTCTCATCCACTAGAAGCCCTGTTCTCCTTCACCTGTTATCTTAGCACAGGCTTTCCTTCTGCTTGCATATTTCTCCTTCCTCTCCCCCACCTTCCCTTACCTCTTGTTGCCTAACTCTCCTGCTCATCCTTCAGGGCTCAGCTCCAGGATGCCTTTCCTAAATCCCCTTTGCCCATTTTTGCTAAGTATCCTCCTAGCTAATAATAAATCTCTCTATATTTGCTGCTTATCCCACCTCACCCCCAGTTACACATATTACACTGAGTTGCAATCATTTTTTTATTTATGAGTGCACTGTGTCTGCTATTATCTTCAGCGGCTAGATCACTCACTGTTTAAAGCGCAGTAGGGCTTCAATAAATATTTGCTGAATGAATGTACGAATGGATGAATGCAGTTCCTCAAACACACCATAGTCTTTCCTGTCTTATGTACATGCTATTCCACCTACCTGGAATGCTTCTACTTTTCACATAGGTTGCTCTTTCATGTCCTTGATGCCTCCTTTAGGTTTAAGCAGCACTGTCTCAGACAGGTGTTCTCTGACAAACATGGTTTCAAGTAGGTTCCCATCCCCTTATTTTTTGTCTTGGCCCCCTGCTTAATTCTTTCATGGTGGTTACTACAACTTATACTCGTAATTACTCTATTTGCTGTCTGTTAACTTCTTTCGATCCTTTTCAGAACTATAATGTAAAATCTGTGAGTGCAGGAGCCATATTGGTCTTGTTCGTTTTTGTATGCCCAGCAACTGGTACTTAATTAATGTTTGTAGGATAAATCAAAGAGTTATTCTGTAACGCAATCCAGGTTCCACCCATACCTACCTTTCTCTTCTCAGAATCCTTCTAGCACTTAAGAATCTGTGCAAGTCAGCAGGATTATTTGTCTCAGAATCAAGTTTAGTTAACTGTGTATCTAGAAAAGCATGTCTTATTTCATTTTGCCAACTGTATTCCAAGGTCTTAATTTCAGGGACCAAATTCACTGTCAAAGTCTAGTCAAGGTGTTATCACCCAAAGGCGAGTCACCCAGCCACTTGACTTGAAAATTTGAGATTCCTCCCCCTTTTCTTTATGTTTTCCCCTTTTCACCTGTAAGTTCGTGACTATTTGGGCCTTTCTCAATATCCTCTAAGTTGTTCAGCTGCAAATCCACACTTCCTGAATCACTGTCAGAAGCGCAAGGGATCATTACTTCTACCCGATTACAGGTCCTAGGAATAAAAAGGGGATTAGAAAAATTAGTTTTTCAGGACTGCTTCTGTTTCATCATTCAAGTAGAAGCTTAAATGTCACCTTCTCAGAGGCATTTATTGATCACCAATCTACGTAAAGTAGCCTCTTTCCACCCCAGTTTCATAGTTACTTTCTTATCTTTTTTATAATACGAGGTCAGAAAATTAAGTTTGCAAACTCATCCTAGAAAAAGTGCGACAAACCTCATTGCTGAATATCACTACGGTCATCTTTAAATAAAGCACTCCCCTTGGGAAGCTATGCACCAATGCCAGCACCTAGTCCATCCTTCAAAGCAATTTTGGAACTCTTTTTCTGGAATGGCGATCAAAGCTATTGTCGTATTACCCTTGATGTCCTGAATTGTCATCAAAATGTCTTCCTTTCAATATTTATCTTCGGGTAAAGAAAGAAGTCATTGGGGGCCAAATCAGGTGAGTAGGGAGGGTGTTTCAATACGGCTATTTGTTTACTGGCTAAAAACTCCCTCACAGACAGTGCCATGTGAGCTGGTGCATTGTCGTGATGCAAGAGCCATGAATTGTTGGCAAAAAGTTCAGGTTGTTTTTGTCTAGCTTTTTCACACAGCCTTTTCAGCACTTCTAAATAGTAAACTTGGTTAACTGTTTGTCCAGTTGGTACAAATTCATAATGAATAAGCCCTCTGATACCAAAAAAATGTTAGCAACATCGTTGCAACAAGTTCTCGAACTTATTTGTCAGACCTCGTATTTAATCATCACCTACAATTATCAAATTCATTTGTGTTAACTGACTGTCTCCCATTAGACTCTAAGCTCCATGAGGGGAGAAAGCTTGTCTACATAGTGATAGTTGTATCCCCAGCACTTAGCATATTGTCAGCCTTATGGAGAGTGAATGGATAGGTAAGAAATACTATACCACTGTTAAAAAGAGACTGAAGTAGAACACTCCACTCCACCTCCCTCAAGCCCCCTTAACCTTTCTTTTTTCTATAGCACACAACACTTCCTAATATATCATTCACTTATTTATAACATTGTTTAATGGATAATAGTTTTCAAATAGTATAAGAATATCTCCTCAAGTTTTTGTGCTATTCACAATGTAAAGTCTACAGACATGACAAATTTTAAAGTTTAATCTTTATTAATATTTTATCCACCATTAGGTTTAGACAATAACAAAGCAATAAACTGTTAACCTAAAAATAAAAAGGCTTTTCAAAGTAAAAGGCAACCAAGCATTTATTTGAGATCAATAAGAATAGCTATTCGGGAATCATTAATTCAGGCAGAAGCCCAAATAGTATTCCGATTAGGAGACAAAGGCAATGAGTATGGGAAAGGGAAGGGGAACAATTATTAATACATCAGTAGTAGGAAGGCATTTCTATTGGTGAAGATAAAATATAGTGACATTAATTCTAAACCATGTTTTTAACTTTTAGTCAGTAGTCATCAATCCAGTAGTCATAATAATTGCTTTCTTGATATCTTTGCAAACAGTTCTTTGGGACACAATGTTGCCCTAGGCCCAGTCCAAAGGTTATTTTCCCCTGTTTTAACCCTCCAAAGGTTTGAGACATAAGATGTGCAAGGCAGTTGCTCTGGCATGGCAGCTCCAGCTCCATTTTAAAGTGGCTCTGTATATACTGTTTACAAAATCAAGCCCTGGTTTGTAGCATTTGCCAATTCTATGGTGTAAACATTCCCCTTGTCGCCAAAATCAAGCTATCAGTGTTACTTTGGGAAGAAATGTGCAGTAGTACACCATCATATAATATTTCCACTATGCAGATACAATAGAGATAAGCAGCTACAGAAACATAGACAATGGTAAAATGTAGTAAAATATTAGGAAATGACAAGTTTTGTTTTCAATAGAATTTATTTAATTGTAAGTTTGTATGATTTACTTTTTCCAAATAGCTGCATTTAACAAGCAATTTGCAAAATTCCTGATAAATTCAAGAACTGACTCTTACAAACCAGTATGAGACAGCTCTAGCATACTAATGGTTGTCTTATTATTGAGTTGGAAGACTTCTTTATATACTCTAGAATCAGCACTGCCCAACAGCACTTTCTGTGATAGTGGAAATGTTTTATAATTCTGCACTGTCCGATATACTATCCACTGGCTACACGTGGCTACTGAACACTTAAAATGTGGCTAGCACAACTGAGGAAATGAATTTTTATTTTTAGTTAATTTAAATATCCACATATAGCTAGTATCTACCATATCGAACAGCACAGTACCAGAGAGCAAGAACTGACTCTCTCTATTTGGGATAATACTATATGGGACATTAATAATGATAATGAGTTACCATAATTTGCATACTTCATGTTATGTTCATAACACTTACGTAAAAGCACAGATTATGGAGTCAAACTGCCTGTGTTCGAATCTTTTCATTTCCCTCTCAATAAAATGGAAATAGCAGCACATACCTCACAAAATGGTGATAAGGAGGAAACGAAATAGGGTACCTAGAGTACTTAGTACACTGTCAGGGCATCCTGTCATTCAATAAGTGGAGTTAGTTATTACCTAGCTATTACCATATTTCCCCATGTATAAGATGCATCTTTTGGAAAAATTTGGGGTTTAAAAACTGGGGGCATCTTATACAGTGGTTGCAGATTTTTTTACTTGCATTTCCCTCAAGTGATGAGGAGTTGTATGAATTTTATGATGAATAAAACTTGAGTTCAATAACTTTATGTAATGCATGTTTTTCAAATTTCAGGCCCCAAAATTAAGGTGTGTCTTATACATGGGAGCATCTTATACATGAGGAAATACGGTATTTAGTTCTTAATGAGTCCCTTTTCATTTTTGAGCCTGTTACTTGGTAATCCTGTAAACTTTGCTAACATGCTCCTCAGAGAGTTACTATGAGACGTCACCAAGTCCAGACAAATGCTTTGCAAATTAGATAAAACATCACTCATAGGTTAGTTATTAACAACCGAAACAATCTTTGGAGGAAATTGCCATAATTTTCTACACAACAGAACAAAATCACTGGAAGGCTGCTCGTCCTTCCCACCGGACCCTTCCCATGCCTTTAAAATTGACCGGGCCTCAGAGAGACGACTGAGTGACAGTGCGATCGGCCAATCAACGCAACCGACCAATCAGAGGAGGCCTCGTCTCGGGCCACCGACGAAGCCTCACCCAATCGCGTTGCGGTAGCGCCCGGAATAGGACCGTTGCGAGGAAGTCGGTTCCAACTGGGCCCGGGCGCCGGGGGGGGAGGCGGGCCTGCATGCCAGGACTGTGGGGCCCTTTAGGCGCAAGTACTGGAATTCCGGTCGCGGCGACTGGGAGCGGCCGGGCCCAGCGGGACGGCGCGGACTCACCTGCGCTTAGAGCCCATTTCAGCACGTGGAGTCTGCCGCGAGTCCCCGGCGTCCCCACCAGCGCGCTCCAGGAGCCACTTGCCTGAGCGGAAGTCAGCCTGCAGCTCGGGCCCTGGTGGGACCTGCTCGGAGGAATGGCGCTGCCGGGTGAGGCGTTGCGCATGGCTCGACCAAGGGGCCCCGCGGCCGGCACGCCTCGGCCACTGGGTCGTCGCCCGCGAGAAGCTAGTGCTCGGCACTCGGGAGCCGGCCAAGCGGGATCCTCTTCCCCTGTGGGGCAGGGGCATGAGCTCAGGCTTTCCTGGGGTCGAGGGTCTGAGGGAGGGTTGTCGATCGGGTGGGACTGTCGGGGTCTGGAGGAAGGATGGGGGTGGGGAGTGGGTGCGGCGCCGAGCTACGGGTCCCCCAGAGGCCCAGCCGGGGGACCGCGGCCGCGGTTAACCCTAGATCTGGCTTCACTCATTCATTTGACTGTCGCGGGCTTCCGGGCCAGGCGGACATAAGTATGAGCTTTTTGTCCAGATCGCCCTTCTTTGGGGCATAGTTTTCTTTTTAATGAAGGAGCAAATAAATACATAAATAAAAATAAAAATCACCTCTCTCAGAGCTTAGAGCATAAGTTCTGAAGTTAGATTCATCGGGTGCAAATTTGCCGTCTGCCACGTATCCGTTATGTGACCCCAGCGCAAATTACGGAACCACACCTGCACCTCAGTTTCTCTTCTGTAAAATAGGTTAGTCACATTGTCCGCCTCGTTAATTGCCGTGCGTAGTAAGTGAGATAATCTCCGTGCATAACTTAGAGCGGCGCGTGGCGCTAAGGAAGCCCTCGGTAAAGTTAACTGCGTTGCGAGTTCACGAGTGGGCACTGTGCGACATGCAGTCTCTTGTAGTCTCACCACAACTTGGGGCATGTGAACTATTGTTATTTCCACTGGACAGACAGGAGGGCAGAAGGGATCCCGAGAAAGGAAGTAACTTGCCCAAGGCAACAAGAAGTCAGTGGCTCACTGCTCCATTATTGAAGAAGTTGAGGGTAATGAGTTGTTTGAACACCAACTTGGGAATCGAACTGCCAGCAGTTTGATTCTCTGCCAGTTAGTGTGTCTTTTAGGGCGGGTAACTACTTCTGAGTCTCAATTTCTTGGTCTGTGAACCGCACTCACTTGGATGTTGAAGATTTAATGACTCATTGCATGCAAAGCACTTAGCGTAGTATGGGCATACCTGACACATGTTAAGTGTGCACATTTTAGCCAGAAAAGTTATTGTTATCGTTAATGTGAGGTGGGAAGATTAGGATTTTGACACCCATGCTGTGTTAGGGAAATTTACAGTATCGCCAGGAAAATACCAGTCGTAGTCATTCACTAGGTCTTAATATATTGAGGGCATGCATGTACACAAGGCACTGGGGATTCAGCATTAGTATCTTCTCATTCTCTCACATCTTTCTATCCATTAGTAATTCTGGCTCTAACAATGAATTCTAGCCAGACTGACCACCTCTACTGCTGTCACCTGGCTCGAACCATCATCTTTTTACTGGGATTATGGCAATAGTCTCCTAACTGGTGTGTCTCTTTAGGTCCTTGCTTCTGTGTAGTCTCAACACAATGTTGTTTATTCTTAACACAATGATCCTGTTAAAATGTAAGCCAAGTCACTCATCTGCTCAAAACTTTCCAGTGACTCCCATCTTTCTCAGTAAAAGCCAAAATTCTTAAGAAACAGATACTTGAACTGGAATCTGAAAATAAAAATTAAGCAAAGTTTAAGGAGGGGAAAGCATGGACGAATGCTGGGTAGGAATGGACCTGGCTTCTTAGAGGAATAGACAAGAAGAGACCAGAGAGCTGCAGATGGAGGGAAGAGTAACAGAAGAGATCTGGTTGAGAGGCAGGCAAGGCCATGATGAAGGTTCAGGCTTGGATCTGCCCTGAGAGGCATAGGAGTTAGTAATGTACTTGAAACGAGAATGGTGTGATGAGTCCTGTGCTGCCAGGAGGACTGTCCTTCAGATAGTTGAAGACAGTGCCCCCCATTTTCTCAAGGCTTCTCCAGGTTAATACTCCCAGTTCCCTCACCCTTCCTGACATGATTTGGTTCCCAGACTATGGTGTGCGTCGTCATTGGAACTATGTGTATAGAACTCTGGAATGGTGTGGAGTGTGTTTAATGGTCATTTTCTCCCAAGGTTCAAGCACTGTCTTCCTGTTGGCCCTGACAATCATAGCCAGCGCCCAGGCTCTGACGCCCACACACTACCTCACCAAGCATGATGTGGAGAGACTGAAAGACTCACTGGACCGCCCTTTCACAAGCTTGGAATCTGCTTTCTACTCCATCATGGGACTCAGCAGTCTTGGTGCCCAGGTGCCGGATGTAAAGGTAAGGCCGCTTTTGTCGTGGTGGCCTCGTCCCTTCACTGTGTTCCTTTTGTGTATGTCATAACTAGCTCTGGCTCATTGGAGGATAACCAAGGTTAATACGATATCATAAATACTTTTCTCAGTCTGACAGGTTTTTTTTAAATGCCTAATGTATGTTGAGGCTCATGCTGGGTGTTTTAGCAGACTATAAAGAAGAGCAAGTCATAGATCTTCGAGAAACTTTTACTGCAGCTGAGTGAGACTGTACAATACCACATGTACTTGTTAATTACTGTATTTGTATGGCTAATAAGTAATAAAGGAATTCAAGATGGAGGGCATTCAGATTCGTTAAGTAGTCACTGTCCCTTTATCAGGCAGTTTTGATGCGCTTCTTGGATCTTTGATGAAGAAAATGCACTGTGATGAAAAGCTTTCCTGATTTAGGAACAGTCTTAAGTAAATTTACATTTTATTCATTACAATAGCATGGATAAGCTAGGGTAAGAAATTAGGGCCAGGTTTCTCATATATAAACCTCGTGTATTAAGTTTCTATGACTGCTTAACAAATTACCACGCACTTAGCAATTTAAAACAACACTCATTTATTCACTGAGAGTTCTGTAGGTCAGAAGCCCAGGCAGGCTTGGCTGGGCTCTCTGTTCAGTGTCTCAGAGTCTCAAAATGTAGGTGTTGGACAGGCTTGGCTTTTATCTGGAGGCTCTGGGGAAGAATCTGCTTCAAGTTCCTTCAGGTTGTTTGCTGAATCTACTGCGTTATGGTTGTAGGTCTGAGGTCCTCGTTTTCTGGCTGACTCTCAGCTAAGGGCTGCTCTTTGCTTCTCAGTGCCACCCACATTTCTTTTTTATTTTATTTTATTTTTTTATTAGTTTCAGGTGTACAAAACAATGCAATAGTTATACTTTCTACCCCTCACAAAGTGACAACCCCCCCTCCCAATCCACCCCCCCCTGACCCCCGATGTCATACACACATTTCTTCTTATGTGACCCCCTTCCCCATTTAAATCAGTAATGGTATTTTGAGTCCTTCTTACTCTTCATATTTCTCAAACTCGTCTGCTACCAGTTGTAGCAACTTTTTCTGCTGTTGAACACCTTACTTGTTTGGGTCAGGACTGCCTGGATAATCTCTGAATTTTAAGGTCAGCTGACTTGGGGCTTTAATTACATCTGTAAAATCCCTTCATAGCAGTTCCTAGATTGGAGTTTAAATGAATAATCAGTGGAAGGAAATCTAAAGATGGCATCTTTAGAATTTTGCCTTCTCTCTTTTTTTTTTTTTTTTAAGATTTTTTAAATTGGGGAATTGCGGGATGGGAACAGTACTGGGGAATTGGGGGAAGGGGAACAGACAAATTGCTGTCGTTTTGTTCTTCAGTCTAGTTGTGGAGGACGTTGCTTCACTGGCCCAAGNGATGAGCAATAAGCTGTTTTGGTTTTCTATTGTTGCCTTAACGAATTAGCACAAATTTAGCATCTTAAAACAACACAAATTTATTATCTCACAATTTACTTGGGTCAGGAGTCTGGGTATGAGTTAGTTAGCTGGGTCCTCCAAAATCAGGCTTGCCAGCCTGCTACATATCCTCATGTGAGGTTTTCTGTCCTCTTCCAAGTCCACTGATTGTTGGCAAAATTCATTTTCTTCCAAGTATAGGACTGAGGTCTTTCTTTTCTTGCTGCCCATTGGTCAGGAACACTCTCAGCTTTTAGAAGCCACTTGCCCCCATAGACATCACAACATAATTGTTTGCTTTCTTCCTCCAAGCCAGCAGAAGCTGTCTCTCTGACTTAACTCTCACTGGCTAAGAAAACTCTCTGTGTTTAAAGGGTTCACATGATTACATCATGCCCACACAGATAATCTCTGAATTTTAAGGTCAACTGACTTGGGGCTTTAATTACATCTGTAAAATCCCTTCATAGCAGTTCCTAGATTGGAGTTTAAATGAATAATCAGTGTCGTTTTGTTCTTCAGTCTAGTTGTGGAGGACGTTGCTTCACTGGCCCAAGCTGGCACCATCATTGTGCTCTTCCCGGGTGAGGCAGATCTGTCGCCCGCTTCTGGACGGCCGCTCACTGCGGCTGCTGGCCGGTCACGCTGCCTTCCCCTTCTTGTATTGACATAGGAATGACCCTGAATCTCTGGCTTATGACAGAAGTTTGGTTTTTGCTCATACTGTATGGCCATCATGGGTCAGCTGGGGCTTTGGTTCATGTTTCTTCTTTAGCGTGATGGAGCTTATGCAGCGGGCAAATGAAAGCATGGCTCTTAAAACTTCTGCTCAGAAGAGCTGCATGACACTTCTTTTTATCTTTCTCATTTTGTTGCCTAACGCAAGTCACATGGCCATACCTGGGTTGGCAGGTCAGGGAAGTAGAATCCTTCAGAGAAGGAAAGTATTTTAGTGGCTGGTACTTCCTGAGCCCCTTTGACTCAGGGTTGCCCTGTGATCCTCTCTGGCTCTGGTTTGCCTTTTGCTTCCTTCAAGGTTCCTTTTCTGAGCAGAGTAGTGAGCACCCTGAGCCACTGGATTGACAAGTTAGCCCATTTTAGTATGAACTCCTCATTCATGGAGCAGTTGTTTACTGAACATCTGCGCTAGGCATACAGTGGTGAACCCTGGGCATACAGTGGTGAACCAGTCATAATCACTGCCTTCAGAGAGCATACAGTCTAGTGGAAGTTAAAAGAACAGCAACTCTTTTATTTTAGCCTGTCATTATGGAAGTTTTCAAACATTCACAAAAGTGGCGAGAACATATAATGAACCTCCTTGTATCATGTATCAGCTTGAACATCACATTTTGCCATTTTTATTACATTTACTCTACCCCTGTGATATATTTTTACACTGGAGTGTTTTAAAGCAAATGCCAAGCATACCATTTTACTTGTATCTCTAATGGGAACTTCTTTAACATAATGACAATCCTTTTATTTCACCTAGTAGTATTAACAGTAATCTTTAATATATTTTAATTCCTGGTCTACATTCAGTTATGTAGAGTTATCTCAGAAAAGTTTTGTTTGTTAGTTGATTTGAATCACGGTCTAAACAAGGCCCAAATATTGCATTTGTTGATCTCTCAAGATTCTTTTCATCTATGAACACCCTCCCCCGATCAACACCTTTTGTTGTGGAAAAAGCCAGGTTACTTGTCCCAGAGAATTTTCCATTGTCTGCCTTTGATTGATTGTATCCTCATGCTATTTTTGAACATATTTCCCTATCTCTTGTATTCCTGTAAACTGATAGTTCACTTTTGAGGCTTAATTATTATAATATATTCAGGGTCAGTTTTCTCAGCAGAAATATTTCATAGGTGGTGCTGTCTACTTCCCATCAGTGGATACAGAATATCTAGTTGTTTCACTATTTTTTTTTTTTTAAGATTTTATTGGGGAATTGGGGGGAGGGAACAGCGTTGGGGAATTGGGGAAGGGGAACAGACAAATTGCTGTCCTTTTGTTCTTCAGTCTAGTTGTGGAGGACGTCGCTTCAGTAGCTCAAGTTGGTATTATCATTGCGCTCTTCCCGGGTGAGGCAGATCGGTCGCTGGCCACTGGACGGCCATTCATGGTGGCTCACAGCAGCTCACGAAAGCTCACGCCAGCTGCCGGCCAGCCCTACTGCAGCTTACGCTGTCACCGGTGACTCATGGCAGCCCAACTCCAGGTCGAGCTGTTGTTCACCATCTTAGCTGTAGAGGGTGCAGCGTCACTGGCCCTAATGTGGGATCCAAAACGGGGCCCTGCTGCTCAGAGCTGGTGTCCCAAGCCAACTCCTACCCAATGTGCCACTCAGCCGGCCCGTTGTTTTACTTTTAAGTTATGATAAAGTTGGGTCAGTGAATTCATGTGTCAAACTAATATATTTTTTGTAAGCATTATATAGAAGGAATTTATTTTTTAATCCAGTCTGACAGTCTCTATTTTTTCATTGGGGAGTTTAATCCAGTTAGATTTAATTTAATTGTACTGTTGGGTTTAAGCCTGCCATCTTATTTGTTTTCTGTTTATATATTTTCTTCTTCCTTAGATTATTTTTTTAATATTTTATTTTTGTCTCTTTTATTGGCTTTTTAGCTCTACTTACTTCTTTTTAGTGGTTGCTCTATTGTAATATGCATTTTAACTTCTCAGTATACTTTGAATTATTATTTTGCAGTGTCATGAGTAATGAAAACCTCATAACAATATATTTCTATATTTAAACTCCCATAATTTGTGCTATCATCATGCTTTTTTACTTTCTTTCAAAGGTCACAGCCTTGCGTTGTCTGTTGTACAGTGTTTCAACTTTATATCTTTTGTTGAGTTTTATAGTTATTTATGGCAGGAGGGTAAGTTCAATACCTTTAATTCTGTCATGGCCAGAACTGGTAGTCTCAGTTGATGTCTTTGAATCCATTGCAGCTGTTAATTCTTTTTGATGCTCAAAACGTCTAATTTTTGCCAGTGGGCCAAAATGTCTGTGTGTGTGTGTTTGTATGTGTGTTTTGTTTGTTTTTATGTGTTCCAGTAGTTATTGAGAGTTTCTTCTGTCCTAGGCTTATCTTTTGTATTTCCTGCCCCAAGCTAGAATCAGTCATTGCTATTATTTATTGAGTGACTCATATGAGACAGTTACACTGGATATGTTATCTTGAGTTTATTGTCTTAATTCTGTTGGGTTGTTGGAAAAGTTATGACATATTTTTTCTGTGTTTTTCGTTGCAAAAATGTGTCATGACTTTTCCGACAACCCAATACATGGTCAGAGATATTGTTATAATAGAGGATGAAATGGAGGCTCAGAAAGGTTAACTAAATTGCTCAGTGTCTGCCAACCATCATCTGAATACCATATGGCAGAGGGGTGAACTGACTGTGGCCCCCTCGTTCAAATCCAGCTTGAAGCCTGTTTTTGTAAATAAAGTTTTACTGGAACGTAGCCATGCCCATTCACTTATATATTGTCTATGGCTGCTTTTACACTTTTAACAGTAGA